AAAAAAATACAGCTTGTCAACAAATGTGGTTTTGAGGTACTGAAAGGGAAGGGAGTGTATGTCTGAGCCACAACCATGTAAAATAGTTTTTAAAGCCAAATGTGAATTTGGCCCCTGTACATCGCCTCTGGCAGGACTGTGTTTTGCCATCACATGCGCTCGCAAGAAAAAGTCTCCTGTGCACTGAGTGAGAAACACTGAACGAGTGAAGTTCCCAAATGCTATTGGTTTTAAATGAAAATTTGAGTGAGTTTAGGTGTTTACTACCTTCTGATGTGCTTCAGGATCTTTTCTGCAGGTGTCAAGGTTGGTGTGGAGACCTTTCTAAGAAAGACATACTACAGCTTTACAGTACAACTACAGCAGCTTCAGTTTATGTTAAACTATTCCAAGAGCAGCACAGGGCACGGGTTTGAGCTACTAAGGAGGTGGGTGAGATAAATGAGGAGAGCAGAAGGGAAATACTGGTGACATTGAGATAAATCTCAAGAACACATCTAGCATGTCTTCAGTATCCACTGTGTGTATTAAGGACCTTCACTTCAGAGCTGGCCCATGTCCTTTATCTGATGTGCTTTTTCACGAGCAGTAAGCATCTTAGGCTGTTCTTCTACCTGTTATCCTCAATGTCTTCATTCCCTTTAGAGCTAGGATGCGGATTCTTAAATCTGTTCTTCCAGCCTTTGACAGGAATAGGCAACAACTTTGCAAGAGAAAAGAGTTGGTCTTATTAGTGTTGGATGGGCAAGGGGAAGAAGAGAGCAGCTGTCTGTTTCCTGGACAGGGACTCTCTCCTAATTATGCCAACTCTTTTTCTGAATATTGAACATAGTTGGTATTTTTCTCATCTTGAGAAATGGATGGAAGTCAAATGGCTCTTAGGGGTGAGGTACATGCAGTCTCGTACAGTTCTTGAAGATGGTGTGGGATTAGGAATTGCAGTAGCTGCACTGCTGCTGACCTTAAGTGTAAGAAAGACACTCAGTCCTATCTATAGCACAAAACAACTAGAGTTGTATCAAACAGTATTATTCAAAGCAGCATTCTCAATATCTAATATGTATGAATCTACACTAGTAAGCAGGAGCACAAAGTGTAAAAATTTAACTTTAGTTTAGATTTAGTGAAAGTATTCTAACACTTTTTTTTTCCCCCCTATCAGGGTTGCTGCCTTACTGAGATTTGCTTGTCTGACACCATGTGAAATCAGTTATAAGTATCACTAACACTTGTGTAATAAAGTAAATGACTTTTTTTGCAGGAAGTATACAGGATGGGAGGAAAACCAGATGCCACCTATTAAAAACTCTAATGAAGCCTGTATAAAAAAAATACTAACTTGCTAGGCCCAAAGGCTAGTGTATTAAATAAATGTGTTTATCACTTCATGTTGCAGACTAACTCCTAATATATTACGGTCTTAACTGGATGCTTATACATCGTTTGACCGCTAAGGATGTGGAAACTGCTGTTTGTAGTAGTTTTTTAATCCCAGAATCAGGCTGAGGTGATGAATCGTAAGCCTTATCATAGAATTGTATACAAGTTCAGTGTATCTTGTAAGATTGTGTGGGCATTTTTAGACTGGTCAACAGAAGTGATTGACATGGGATTTCTGAATGAAACTTAGGCTCCTGGTAACAGCCATGAATACAACGTGATAAAAGCGTTACCAGTTCCTGAGTAAATATGCCTAGCCACGCTTTTCCATTGTAAATATTTAAACTGTAATGATTAATTTTTACTGTAGCTTTTAATTAGATATAGTTGTGTTGTGTCTCAAGAATTAGAATTTATTTTGGAACAGGAACTCAGGTATGTTTGGTTAAGCAAGTTTTTGTAATCTGCTGCACTCAGAATGTGTCTACCATTAACATGTAAGCATAAAAAGGCCTTGGGGACTGCTTTACCTCCTTGGAACACAGAGCTTGTGAAATCCTTGTATGAGGAAATCCGTGGTGTTGGCCATGGCATAAGAGTGGACAGTTGCTGTGGACCTATAGGCTGATTTAGTCTTCTGGCTCTAGCTTTGTGGTGACTTGCTTTGTAAGCCTGCAGCCTTCATGGTGTGGCAGTAAGTGCTAGCAGACTTAAGCTGAAAATCTATAGCAGCATGGACATTGATGAAACTTGGTGTTAATTTGACTTGACAGTCCTATGCTGGTGGGGTATTGCTATCTCAAACTGTTGCTAGAAGCTAATGACAATTCAGTAAGTCTTAAGCTATCCCTTATGCAGTTGCAGCTTGCTACTTAAATCAGGCTGAGTGAAAGAGGAACAAAAGCACATGAGTTGTCTTTCCAAGGTCACTGAAATTAGTCACGTGTAGTACCCTTTGCTTTGGATTCTTATTGAGCTTGTGAACTCCAGTTTGAAACCAGTACTGACTACCCGATTCCTTTTTTCTTCCTGGCTAGCGTCAGATTTGTTTTGTAGCACACTTTTTATAGGAGTTGGCTGACATGCAACCTTTCTTAAAGGTATTTTCAAGAGGAATAATTCAAGATTGATGGATGAAATTTTAAAACAGCAGCAAGAACTCTTAGGACTAGACTGCTCCAAGTACACCGTGGAATTTGCGAATCAAGACAAAGCGGATCAAGGTAAGATGAATTGCAAGGTGGGGTTGGTATGGCTCTTAAGTAGCTGTGTATATGTCATAACTCTGCTTTTACTTAAACACATTCCTGTGCACAGTGACCTTTTCCTTCATTAAGCACTGATTATCAGAACACATGCAACCTTCCTGGCCTAGCATGAAACTTCCCATGTGCTTATTTGTTTTTAACTAAGCGTTCTCTCCTTCCCATAATGGGCATTACTGGGTAGTCTAATCTTCCCTTTAGCCATGACTCATTTAGTGCATCAGTGTTGCTCAACTTCCCACTGTTTGAGAGATGAATTCTTTTGCTGAGAGTTGAAAAAGCACTGGAGTAAATGCAAGGGAACTGATGTCAGGTTACCAATGTGCGTGCTTCAGTCTTTCCAAACTTATACCTCGAAGTGGGGAGGAAGAAGGGAAAGAGTGAAATTGCTGGTTGTCATGGCAATGTGTAATGTGCGATAGCAGCTGTTGCATGTAGAAGTAGTGGAAAACAGGAATATGTTTCAAGGTTATGTTCCTTATTCAATACTATCTGCTGTAAGTATTCACTTAGGTGTGCTGACAAACACAAACACTAGAACTCTGTTCAAAATGTAGTAAATCACAAGCATGTAAAGGGGGTCTACAGGAAAGATGGGGAGGGACTCTCTACCAGGGGGTGTAGTAATAGGATGAGAGGTAGCTCTTTCAAACTGAAAGAGGGGAGATTTAGATTAGATATTGGTAAGAAATTCTTCACTGTGAGGGCAGTGAGGCACTGGCACAGGTTGCCCAGAAAAGCTGTGGCTGCCCCCTCCCTGGCAGTGTTCAAGGCCAGGCTGGATGGGGCTTGGAGCAACCTGGTCTGGTGGAAGGTGTCCCTGCCCATGGCAGGGGAGTTGGAACTAGATGGTCTTTGAGGTCCCTTCCAACCCAAACCATTCCATGGTTGTATGTACTTACTAAAGAAGGCCTTTGCCTTAGAGGGGTGGGCTGATACTTGCAGCTCTCCTAACTACAACTCATAATATTTAAATAGGTCTCGTAATAAAAAAAGAAAAACAACCTTATGTTTTAAAACAATCATATCACATAGTTCAAAGACTTAAGAAAAGACTACACTTGACAAGCTGTAGTAAATTTAGCTGTATTTAAGATGCTGCTGGCTGAATTTTGCATCCCCTACAAGAGCTGATAGGACGGAGAGATCCTTTGCACCAGTTTTTCAGTATGAAGTCCAATGTTGTAGCAGAAACTTGCCTTATAACTTAGGCTAAGGTGCTAGCATTTCTGTGGAAACACCCAAGTTTCACATTATTTCTCTTTATTCCTGTGAAGGTTGAAATAAGCAGGAGAAAATGGAGTAGACATGCTGTTATTGTCCTAAATGGTAGCATACTTAGCTGCAGTTACCTAAATTGGGATATTTATGTCCAGACCAAATGAACTACTGAAAGACTGCTCAGACTTGCTGACTGAAAGGGTACATTTAAGTCTTGGGAACCTTTTGTGCTGCAAACCATGAAAAGCAGAGGTGTGTTCTGTTCTTTAGAATTTTTCATTCTTACTTAGAAGGCTCCACAGTTGTAATCAGATGCTTTATACTTTGAACTGAACAAGTTGACATCTATCCAGTTTATAATATTAAATTGCAATGTTTCACTTCTTCTGAGAAGCAAAATGACATGTCTTACATTTATGAACACTATTAGAGAAATAATCTTTAACACAGGACATATGGCAAACAATATCAAGGAACGATTATTTTCATTGTGATGTCTTGGGATAGACTAAGAGGTGGTTTTAGGTGTTCTTATGAGTCTTCTGACTGTATTCTGTTGTCCTTTGCAGTCAGGTTCTGCAGTTTTAAGAAACGCTATTGTTTAAATATCTGGTTATAACTCTCGTAAGTTCTGTGTAAGTACTGTGTCCACCCACTAGTATTTAACCCAATTACTTCAAGCTGGGTCTAGTACACTATCTGTAACCTTCAGCTTCCTTGGTAAGTTCACCTCTTGGGCACCTTTTGAGCACCTTATCAGAACTCACAATGATGCAAGTCATGTAGCATGAGAAGACTCTTACCTCACAGTAGTGTAGACAATAAGATTGCTGTGAAACACCCTCAATTATGTCATTTCACAATGACATAATTACAGATTAATGGCTGAATTCCAGTACTATGATCTGGTTCCTAGTTTCTCTCTAGCAATCTTCGATCAATGTTGTAACTCTTGCATCAGTTTTGAAGTGCTGCTGAAAGATCCTGTGATCATATTCAGGGAAGGCCTCAGCTTAATCATTGTATCACATGAATGTCTGCAGAAGCTGTTAAAACACCTTCCTCTCTTAGGGTAGGAGTTAGATATTTTTTTCCTTTCCCTGAACTGCAAGTCTTTCTGTGTTGCTTACCTGCCCCCAAATTACTATCTAGGCACCGTCCTCTGGCTGCTTTGCCTGACAGCATAAGAACCAATGCAAATTCCCTGGAAGACTCTACGTTTCAAGACTGACATTAATGAAACCACTTTTCACAAGACTCCTCAAAATAGTCGCTTTAAACTTGCGCTTTAGTAATAGAGCAAATCCAGAAGACTCTTACCCACTTCTGTAAGAGATGGATGAGGTAAAGCTATGACTAGTTGTATAATACATCAAGTAGACTACAAGTTACTTTCAGCCGTATCCTGTGAATATCTAAAGCACATTCAAAACAGCTATATTTCTTTTGCTTTTAAACTGTGTTTTGTACTTTCAGTTTTAAATTGCCAATCTGCATTGAAGGTGCTGTCTCCGGAAGATGGAAAAGCAGACATAGTAAAAGCTGCTCAGAACTTTTGTCAGTTGGTAGCACAGCAGCAAAGAACACACACAGACCTGGATGTGAATGTGTTAGACAACTTATTAAGTAGTAAGTATGACATTGTCTGTGGGGAGGA